TATGTTGTAAGAAATAAACAGAAAAAAAATATGAATGTCTGCGTATTTATTTATGTTTAAAATACTCATTATTATACTAGAAATTAAAATATTACTCACCTAAATAAATCCAAATAATACAATAACAATATTATTGTACTATTGTATAATATTATGGTACTTCTAGGATGTCTTGGAGAGCATTTGCTATGGTACAATAAGTTACGATCTTAAAAGTGGTTGCACTGTTGGGAGGCAATTTGAGCTTCAACGTTTCAACAGAACGCCGCCTCTATATTACTCTATGACATAATCGTACTAATCATGCAAGTTGCATGGAAGGTCACTAGTGACCTCGTCGATAAAACCAATATAAATCAACAGAATAAAATTTAAAAATAGATACAACAACAATATACGATTCTTAAGGGGTTCCTTAACTATATAATAATTTTTCTTGAGCTATAAAACCACACCAATCTTGCCACCATGATGTAAAAGTCACCAAATCACAGCAAATTTCTTATCAATAATTTTTGTTTTAAAATATTATTGTTTTTTATATTATAATCTCTGTAGTTACACAATACTGTTGATAAACATCAGATTATACATTTTACCGTGACAATATGATCATAATAATGTCAATATTAATATTGATCATTGAGATAAATACTGATAAAGTAGACAGGTCACTGTTGACCTTACATGCAGTGAAGGGTTAAGTTGCGGAAAAATTATTTCTGGTACCATATGACCAAGGTAAAATTCTGACATAGGTATTTCCATGTTGTTCAACCAAAATAAATCATCCCGTTCAATTTTATCAACACACAAACCTGTGTAACACATATAGGTATATTTCTTATAAATGTCAAAAATATTTATAAAATTAAAATTATGTGATAAATTTACCTTTTGGAGTCCAAACCACAAAATAACAATATTTTTTTGGGGTTATATGGAGTTGACCCTGTATTTGATAAAAATAATCGTAATTTTTTTTTAATACCAACTTCTCATTTTTTTGTTCCAAATATTTTTTTTTTTTTTCCTCATAAGCATTTTCGGGTGTGTAGTCTCTAATCGAAAAAGGATATTTAATCTCGATTATACAATCGTCTCCAACAAGTCCGTCTGGAGATGCAGCCAAGTAAGGGAGTGCTGGATCAACAAATAATCCGGCAGAATGAACCTTGAAGTTGTGTAAAGCTTCGAATGCTTTTTTAGCTACGGGTTCGAATTGTATACCATAACTGTTGCAGAATGTATATTGTATATAGATTATAGATTATTAAATAAATTGTATTTGTTACAGTATAAAATAGTCAAATTTTACCTGGTAGCAGTTGTTCTGTGGAAATAATTAGACTTATACAAAATAGAAATAATTGTATTTTTTCTATTTGTGCTTTTACGTAGCTTACACACTTTGCCAAAATTAGAAGCAGTCAGTCTGTACGATCGTTCTTTTTTCCATTCTTCACATTGTGATTGTTCAATAGTTCGGCGTTCCAATTGAATAATATCATCCTGACTAAGCCTAAGTCGTGATAAGAATAATAACTTTTGCTCCTCCATTTCTTCACGAGCAATCAGTAGTGGCTTACATCCTAAATCTTCATTTACAGCACCATAGTCTTCGTCTGGTCCAGCTATTAATTTTCTCTGGATTCGAGGTCTGTATAAAACATAATTAATATCGTATACACTACACTTGTATGCCATGCGTAGTACTAAATCTATGACTATAATATACGAATGTGTTAAAAATATTCAATATAGGTACTTTGATTGAAGCGATTTCTTTAATTGTTTCTGTCGTTGACTTTTTATGTGTTTTGATATAAAGTATTTCGTAAATATTCCTGGACTTCTGTCTGTGACTTTTTTATGGAAGTGACGTAAATATTGTGGTCCAAAATTATAGGAGGACACTGCAGTATTACATCGAGTACTATAAGAACCTAAACATACATTTATAAAAATTAAATAAATAAAAATTAGTCCTAACCTAACCACTTATACCTTTGAATGAAAAATTTATCCTTTTACCACCTACATATTTTGCAACGATACTATTGTAAGACTACTACATTATTATTGACATGGTATATTAAACTATCTGAATGATACGCTACTAAATTTACGGCTGCCATAATATCATTCCAAATTCCGCATTTTTGCATTTCTGGAACTAGGTTAAACTCAGATTCCTTTTTCCTTTTACAAAAATACTTAATCAATCAATAAATCATTTATTATTATAAAAATGTTACTTATGATAAATAAATGATTAGTATGTTATTCTTACTCATCACATTCATCATGAAACCCAAATATATGATAAGGTCCATTAGTAATATCATTTTTTAAACATTTTGCTTTTGCGTCATTAGAAGTTGTCATATTTTTTCTGAACTCTATAGCCTTGGTTACAGAGTATCTATTTTTATTTCAAATAGTTATTAAATGTCACTTTTTATCCAATGTAAATTAATTGTAGTAATAAATTAATATAAAATACACAATAATTCTCACCGTAATCTTAGCAAGTTTTCTTTTAATTTTGTTCTTATGAATCCTGGAACAACAGTACCCGAAGAACTTTTTCTTTTTGTAGACATATCTTTTAAACGATTCGAGTAATTGCGTAATATGTGATTGGTACACTCAATTTTTTTTACAATCACGTCATTACCATACGGTTTTGCTAAATTAATTGTTTTCATAACACTACTATCCCCATCCCCTATTAAATGACTATAAATTAAATTATTTGATTGTAAACTCTGTTTAAACCCTTGAACAATAATGTCAGCTTCCATAGCCGTAGACGTTCCACTCCAATTTTTATAACAAATATGTTCTGGTACCTTTTGGATAACATCTGCTTTATGACATACTGAACAATATTTATTTCTTACTCCTATATATAACATTTTTTTAGTCCTATAACCAACAATACATCCCTGAAATATATAAGATAATGATTGCATAATCATGACCATAATTTGTGTACCATATATTTTAAATAAATTATTTACTAACAACACCAGACAGAGCATTATAATTTGATCTATAGGACCTCTTAGACCATGCGCCATCGGCAACTACAGTGATCATAGGAACACTGTTCTTATTTACATCCCCGTGTTCTATAGCTAATCTAGCTTCTTCTTTAGCCGTTTCTTTAGTTCCTTCCAAGGCAACGCTCTCAGTGTATGAACTAACTTTTTCATGACATTTTTGATATAGTGGGTTACTCATACATGGCATATTTAAAATAGCTGAAAATTGCTGTAATTGTGAATATCCTTGACCGGTATTCACAGCTGATGATACAACTGCCATATTTATTGTTAAAAGTCCGTTGGTATCTAATGATGGTTCAGTAGAGATAATCTCATTTTTATTACACATGTTGCAAATAAAAATAAATTCACTGTAAAAACCATATCTTTTTTCTTTTTGTAAACTTAAATTAAGGAACGTACAGTCAAAACCCTCGTGTTTGATTTTCGAGATTTTATTAAACATCAATTTTATATCAACGATTCGTCTTCCTTCAATTACATATGTTCTTGTTATGTATCACACTGGGTTGAATAATGAAAAGTAACTCATATTATATAAAATAACAACATTAACTTTTATTCAAACAAAAACATGGATCAATGTATTTTAACAGCAAAAAACATGAAAAAAAAAATGTGTGTTTCTTATCATTACATATCATATTATTTACGCGTCTGCGACATCGTCCGCCAGAGCGCGTCTGTTACATATACAACAGTTCTAAATTAAATACATTAAAAATAATTATTGTAAACACAACTAATAACAATTATTAATTAAGTATGTTTTACTCTTCCATATCTCCATTATGATGAATTAAATTTTTTTGCTGCCTGCTGGAAATTGATGTAGATGGTAATTTTTCCAATGGAAATAACATATACCTATTTTAGATTTTGAGTGGAGTAAAGAAGCTACTGGTTTTATAATGTTGTTAATTTTTAAGAAATTTGACCCTATGAAATTTTTTTTTTCGAAATTTAAAAAAAAAATTGTAAAAAACCGAAAATTTCTTAGGCCTACAATTAGCACAAAACTTGTCAAATTATTTTTTAATTTTTTTAAATGTGTATAAGATGGTTATCTTAACAATTGGTAAAATTTTCGGTTTTGGTTAGGTTATAAATTTGGTAAATTTTGATAATTTTTGTATGTCGCCATAGGAGCACCCTTAGGAACTCCTCACTTCCACTTGTGTGTAAAGGTACCAATAAGAAAATTTAGATTTCGATTTTTATTTGTTTTTTTATTTATTTATTGTCAATAAAAAATGTTTTGAAAATTGAATATAATATAAGATACCTTATAAGTTGTTATAGTAGCAGTTGAAAATACTATTTAATTTTTGGATAAGAAAATGTAATACAAGATTCCTCATAAGTTTGCCTAATTTTATTAAAAAAAAATGTCTACCAAGGAAGTTAAATTAAATTTTTATGAGTATTTTTAAATTCATATTTTTACAACATTGGATACTCACACGATTTTTTTATATAGCGATTTTCTTATTTTGATGTAACTCAAAAACGAATAACTGTAAATACACGAAAATTTTACTAATTGTTTATAATTTATACTTATTATCATTTTCTATAGACACCGTGCATCTAGGTTAAAGCGCTCCCAGCGGACATTGTATAGTACTAGTGAGGGGATATAATAATATTTTGATTATTCTGTGATTGTAGTAGGTACGTAGTATATTGTTAAACTTTTAATTTTTTTTATTATAAACTACCTTTGTATCTAACATTATTTTGTAGGTATTCGGTATTTGGTATTATTATTTTTGTTATTTCACATAAGCATTTTGTACTTCTCTGAAAATAAGATGAATAAGAGCAAGTCAAACAAAATATGTTGTGTTGTCGGATGTAGTAATACTTACAAAAATACAGATCAAATATAGTTTTATAATTTTCCAAATAGATCATATGAGCAAGATGTTAAAAATAAATGGATTAAAGCAATCAATAGACTTGAGTAAGTAATTCATACATTATCTTATTCCTACATTACTCTCTATAAACCTTGTTATCTACCATTTATATTGAATTCAATACATATTATTCATTTTACTATTTCATTTGCTATTAATTAATTTATTAAGTTTATTTATTTATTTTTCGTATTAAGTCGTTTATTTTTCATATTAAGTAATTTATTTCTTGTAAGTTATCATTTTAATGGCAACCATAAGTTACATAATATCTAATACCTACTTATAGTTATATGAAGACAATAATATAATATTTATGGTAGGTATACCAAATACATGTATAATTAATACATTTATCATTTATCATTTAAAAATATATTTATATATTATTTTAAGCAAATTTATGGTACAAAAAGGTTTATAATGTAAGTAATGCTACAAAATACAAATGCTAAGTTTCTTTTTTTGTGATTAATATATAATTGTTAAATGTTTTTAGTGACAATGGGAAATTATGGTATCTCAAAAAATATAGTGTTGTATGCAGTGCCCATTTCATTGGTAATAGACGGTCAAGAGATCCACAAAGTCCTTCATATATTCCTACAATATTTCCTGAAGTCTACAAAAAAAGAAATGTTAATATGGACCAACAAAATTCCAGATATTCTCGTGTTTTAAAAAGACAAAAAACCAATAAGCAGCCTACTAATAATCCCAATGATAATTTAAATACAACATTTGTAATAGAAACTAATGAAGGGGACAATAATTGTAAATCAATGTGTAATTCTAGTACTCAAGTGAATTTTGAATGTATTCCAAATAATTCATTTGTATTTGCATGTTCTTTTGAAGGTGATTCTGTTAGTACTCAAATAACTTCATCTACTGGGTTTTATGATAATAATTTGAAATTTTCATTGGACAAATCTTGTGGACCTGATTCAAATTCTAATAATTTTTGTCCTTCAGGTTTGGACTGTGACAAATTCCATGGTTTTGATTCTGTAAAAAATGAAACATCCCTTAAAGATTTAACTGGAACCTCTTTTAAAGTATTTGATTTTTTACTCTCTCTACTTCCTGAAACTCGTACCAATGTTATCATTAAAAAGAATGGACTACTAATATTTTTAATGAAAATTAAATTGGATTTATCTTTTTCTGCTTTAAGTGTCTTATTTAATGTTCATCGCACCACAGTCAGTAGAACTTTTTTTAACATTCTTGATATATTATGTTTCAAAACTAAAAATTTAATATTTTGGCCCAGTAAACACACAATAACCGAAACATTACCAGAAACATTTAAAAAACATTATCCTAATACCCGTTGCATAATTGATTGTACTGAAATAAAAGTAGAACAACCGCCGACTGTAGAACAGAGAGTTTATATGTACTCCCACTATAAAGGATGTTACACAATTAAATTTTTAGCTGCAATAACCCCAAGTGGGGCCGTATCATTTATTTCCAAATGTTATGGTGGATCCAGTGATTCATTCATTACAAATGATAGTGGGTTTTTGACAAAATTAGAACCAGGTGATCAAATTTTGGCAGATAAAGGGTTTCCTGGTATAAAAACCAATTGTGAAAATAATAATACCATTTTAGTGATGCCACCCATTTTACACAATGGTAGATTAACTGAACAGGAAGTTCTTGAAACATATAGTATTGCCAGCATACGAATACATATAGAAAGGTTTTTTGCAAGATTGAAAACTTACGGTATTTTAAAAAAAATACCAATTGAACTTTTACCTTATATTGACGACATTGTCCATATTTGTTGTGTGTTAACAAATTTGCAACCCCCAATTATAAAAAACTAATTTTCTTTAGGTACTTCTCTTAAAATATATTTTATTTTATATTATACTTAAACATAATATAATATTTACACATTATAATATAGTATTTTTACATTATGATTACAAAATAAATATTATTAAGTATAAATGAAAGTCTTAAAATTATTTGTTTGAACCTAAAATGATGGTTGGTAAGAAATAGTTGAAATAAAAATACTCTAATTTTAAAATTACATTTTTTAAAAAAAGATCATCTTTTTCTAAACATATTAGTAATGGTTTGATAGAATTATAAATAAATAAATCACACTTATCAAGGCCTGTAACAAACATTAGAATCTGGCATTGAGTGTAGTATTGATGAGATGATTTCAGTACTATCTTATCATTTTTATATTTTAGATAACTTAAATTACATTTTTTACTATCTTCATCAAAAATGAGTTTATTGCTACAAGAAATAGGGCATTTAATTTCAAGAATTTTATTTATATTCCCATTCTGTGACAAGACTAATGCATCTGGTGATGCACATAACCATGGATACTTGGAGTGTATAGTTAGTCCAGCTCTCACAGTTTTTACTTTAAATATTTTACTATATGCTTCAATTGCAACACCTTCAGTACGTAGTCCATAAGCCGTATTTATCGCTGCTTTACCAATTAAGTTTGTATCAATAGACATTGTATTAGCAAGTTTGACAAGATTTTCGTCAGAAATACATTTACAAGTTTTTATTTTGTGAGCCTTGGTTGCAGAAATTCGTATAGATCTTTCTTTCATCCAATCAACACTCTTTGACTGATCCATAGTTGCAATAAACATTTTTTTCATGGCGTCATTTGTTACTTTCACTTTGCTAAAAAAAAATATATGTTCATTTTTATTTAATGGAAAACATATATTAAAAATATTGTTTTCTTTTTGCAACTGATTTCGAAAGATATTATTCACAATAACATTATTTTCAGTTTCAGTTTCCTCAAGTTCAAGCTTTGTTACAATATATTCCAAGCATTTTTTACATTCTCTATCTGCTTCAGAACTTATTTCTATTTTAATTAGTTTACTTATACCACAAGGAATAGCCAATATTTCATATTGATCTACAAAAGTACTGTGACTAATAAGTGGTTCTTGAAATTGCATATTTCTTTTACTGGGAAATAAATCTGATATTTTTTTGCCTTTCTTGTACTTATCTTCCCCAGCTTTAGAAGGTTTGCCCCATTGTTGAGGCAAATCTGTCTTTGATAAAGCTTCTTCATTATTTATATAATATACAAGAGCAGCTATATGCTTACATTTTTCACCTATACCAGCTGGACAATCACATAGACATGTCTTCACTGTCCTTAAATTATCCAACTAAACAAATACAAAATAATAATTGAAGTTTGGAATAAATAATTACCTAATACACTTTAATAATACAATAATAGTAAACTTATAATCAAACATACTTCTAGTTTGACTTTCCATGGTTGCATTGATACAGAAGCCTGTCTAATTACATTTGCTGTTACCATTGAGTAACCATTATGCGAAGTGATGACTTCTGTTACATTTATAACATGACCACTTTTAGCTAAATTTTCACCTTTATTATTTGAAAATATTGTTTTAAAATTTACTGATTGAAAACCACATTTAAGTACAATATCAACACCACATTCATTCATTTTATAGTTTTATACTATAATCCACGAGGAAATAAATGTTTAAATAATAAAAAAATATATATTTTAACATGGTATTATACACATAAGCAAGATAATTTATTTGTGATAATTAGTTATTTTATTGATTACCAACCCATATAGACACAAGAAGGGAATAATATGAAACATGACTTCATTTCTTATTTTTCTATTTTGGTAACTAACATATTTTGAACTTAATGGCTGCATTATAATAATGTTGTGTATCCCCTCACAAGTTCGGTCATTGTCCACTACACTGCGCTGTGTTCAGTCAAATGCACGGCGTCTATACACCATACAATTTGTATACAGCAGAGCGAGTAGTGACTTCCACTATCATCGTACACCCATACATTTATTTATGCAGCGTATGTATAATAAACATATTTCAAACAGTTTGAATACAAAAAACAATTGCTTCTATAATATATTATTATAATGAAAATTAAAACTTACCGTTATGCAATTGGAATTCGAACGCCATTTCAATAGCGCATTAACATTGCCCTTGTGTTTTTTCATTTTTGATAACGATAACTTTTTTTTTTTAGAATTACTCATAGTGTTTTATTTATTTTTCAAAATATTTTATAAAGAAAACGGAATCATCAATTAGTTCAATGTAACTGTACACTTCACTGTAACTATACACAGGCACACAGCAAATGTGGTAATAATATTATCAAACGTCAGAAAATATAATAATCAATATTATATTATCCAGTATCTATTTTACTTTGGAAAATTGTCGATACTATCTATAAATAATTTACGTTTGACAGTCAAGCACTGTTGACAGTAACGCGCCGGAATCGTCTAGTTTGTACACTTTCGCACGCGCACAAACATGTCACAGTAAAATTGCTACTGTTTAAAACAGAAGGCATAGCTAATTTCCAACGTACCGATTAATCTAGTGAAGCGATAAGAATTCTGAAAACAGATTTGAATTTGTCGTCAAGTCTTCTTGAGATCGACTTTCCCACATTTTTGATTTTTTGATTTAACCTTCTCCAAAAATTGAAATATGTCAATTTTTTAATTACTCTTTTGAATGTATCGTTTTTTAGGATTTTTGGAGGATAATATCAAAAATGTGGAAAAGTCGATCTCAAGTAGACTTGACGACGAATTCAAATCTGTATTCAGAATTCTTATCGCTTCACTAGATTAATCGGTACGTTGGAAATAGAACACGTCTATAATCCTATGTTGCACGTGTGTTAGACAAAGACAGAAAATCGCCGCTTCCAATCCCCTTAAGCTTGTGTAATGACCGCTGTATAATGATTCCCCGTGGTGGCAAATTTCACAACACAAGTTATAAGTGTTGTCATCAATTTGTTATGTTGTTGTTGGTAGAGATACTAATGATATATTTTGTATTTTTTCCAATAATCCATTCCATAATTGTAATTGTATAAACACATATTGGCTTGAATTTGATACATGCATTATTTTAGAATGGTTTCCTGTTATTTTGCAATTACTACATTTAATTTCAAGTACTATTTCTTTACTAAAATCATTAAATAATGAATTTAAAGTACTTTTACAGTCAATAACTGTGAGAAGTAATATATATTTAGGTGTTTTACTGGTTCTAATGTCATTGCAATTTAAACATGTTATTATTGATAATAATTCATGTCTTAGAGAATTTTTAAGGAATTATTTTGACAAAGAAGAGCATTGATAAATTCAAATGCATCTTGTTGCTGAGAAAGATTAAAAGGCTGTCCTAAGAATTGTCTCAAAATAGTGCAATCGAGTTGTTTCTGTTGCGAAAAATAGGATGAAGCTAATTTACTTAAAACAGAATGCCTTTCATATTGCATTAATTGGTTTACAATGTATTGAGAGTTAAAAATAACTTGAAGTGATGCATTTGCATAACATGATACTCTATCATCATTTATAAAACCTGGTTGTTGTAAAATATGAGTTGGTAATTGATTTAGAAAATCGTTTTGCTGAACATTTTTTATAATATGTCTAGTCGATTTTATCCAAGATAAATCCCTAATTTTGTAATGCTTTTGAAAATTTTTATCTATTAACTTTAAGTCGGGATATTTACGGGATAAGTACGATATTGTTTTTTCAAACGATTATATTCATCAATTGCTGATGTTTGAGCTTTAATGTTTGCACGATCAAAGTTAATTAAATGTAAACCGTTTAAGCTTGTGACCCTAGATAGTGCTACATAAGTCTGTCCGCATGAAAATATATTATTACCTATATCGACAATGTAACATTCTAATCACATACCTTGACTTTTATGAATAGTTATGCCATATGCTAGTGTTATAGGGAATTGGTTTCTATAAATAAATGCACCAGGGAAAACCTCAAATTTACCTTTAACGCGATCAATTTCAAATTCTCTTTCTTTAACTGTTATTTTGATTTTGATCGGAATTCCACAGAACCCAACATATATCACCTGTTTTACCATACCAAAGTTCTATTTACTAGTCCAAGAGAGACATCTATATTTCTTATTATCATGACTTTGCATTTTAATTTAATTTTGATATTTTTTTCTAATCCTGCAGTTCGTGAACTATCTGAATTCAATAATGCAAGTTTTTTTATAGCTTTGCATTTTGATGTTGTTTTAGCATCTACAGAATCTTGTGCTTCAAGATTTATGACTTCTGTAGGTAATAAATCTAAAACACCTTTATTTAGTACTTTACAGTGATTTATAGTTGGCAACAGTACGAGTGCTGAATCAGGCAAATTTGATATCAAATTATACAATTCTACAATTACGGAATTGTGTTTATTATTATTTTTATCATTAAAATTGAACTTAATTATTCTTTTGTTAATCAATTTAATATCAGTAGGTGTTACAGCGTTAATTCGAACTCTTTCTAGAATAGATGCGTATATGGAATCATTTTTTTGACGCATGTTTTCAATTAATTTGTCGTAACTAAATAAATTTGCCCATATGTTTAATGCACCTAGCGAATGAGTGTACTTATCAATTTGATTCTTTTTCAAAGAAATAAAAGGAGATTTTTCATTTACCGGTGGAAGATGTAGCAAGTCTCCAAACATTAACAAATGTATGCGTCCAAACCATCCATCATTGATATCTCCAGTATCGAATATTTCACATAATCTTAAATTAATATAAGTTAATGTTGTATTTGAAATCATGCTTATCTCGTCTATTATAATTAATATGACATTTTCCATAGCTTGTCTAATTATTTTCAATACATTATTTGATAAGGGCCTGTACGGTGGGGTATTTCCATGTTCTACTGGTAGCTGTAATAACCTATGAACCGTCATACCTTGAATATTGAATGCGGAAATGCTAGTAGGCGCAGTTACAGTAACATCTTTTTTAATTTTGGTTTCTATGAAAGCTTTTACAGTTTTTATTAGATAGGATTTACCTGTACCACCAACGCCAGATACAAAATGTCGCATTGGAGGATTACCATGAGAATATAATTTACTTTTAACAAAGTTAAAGACCCTCTGTTGATCGGAATGCATATTTGAAATTAATTTTTCGATGTCTTGATTAGCACTTCTAACTCGTAGTTCTTCTATAACTTCTTGTACTTCTGCAATTTGAAACCTATCATCATGGTCATTATTAATTTGTGTTGTTTTATTCTTCTCTAATAAATCTTCAATAATTGTTTTTAAAGCATCTTTAGATTTTTTAAGGTATTCTAATCGTTCATGATAGTGTAATGCGGTTTCAATTTTGTCTCTACAATTAATAAAAGCCTCAAGATATGTCCTATGATTCCCAATAATCTCGACTTATTGGTGCCACGGTTGAAACAACATTAACAAAGAATGAAAATATTTTTCTGGTTCTGATTGAATATTGTAAATTTTATGTTTAATAAGATAAGGTCGAGTTCTTTCTTTAATGTATCCATAGTTAGGATATTCATAATGTTTTAAGTATCTTTGCCAACCGGTTTGTTGTCATATAATCGCACATAATCAAATAAACAAATTGATTCTAAATCAGGTGGCCGACTGAGATAATGGGTGTCTATTATTGAAGGATAAAATACATCAACTTCATCACCACCTAATTTTTCGATATCAATCTTAGATTTTAGTCTCCTATTTCTATTAATATTTATATCTAACCATTTTATAGTTGTTGATGGATCTGTACCAAACAATGGTATGCTAAGAAGAGTATCACTTGCCTCTAAAGAGCCGCACTCACGATTATTAAGTGCTCTAAGAGCAACATTCCATAATTTACTAGCAAGTGACTTAGTGTTATTAATAACTTCAAACAATTGAGCTGTATTTGACTTCTCTGGTTTGGTTTGATATTTAGTAATGTACGAGCTTAAGGCACACGATTTCTCGCCTATAAACTGTAAATCCATATTATCATTCCAAGCTAAAAGTATCGCTGGGTTAATATCATTTATATAAATCTCATTCTTAGTGCGAGGTAAATCATATAATCTACTTTTTGATTTAAGACTTCTTCGTCCAGCAATTGAAGTTACCACATCCTTCGTTATAAAATGATCGGTTTCAGTTCGGGGAAAACCAAATCTATAAGAAGTAACAGTTCCAGTCCCGGTTTTTTTACTCCTCATACAATAACTATTATGTTTGTGCGTTTGGTACATTTCAATTCTATCCGAAATAGTTGGGAAATCATATTTATTTGGTTTGTGACAAGTAATTGTGTTTGAAATAAATTTTACGACTTCATCGGTTGTATTTTCACCTATAACGGGAGCCCCTTCAATCCAAAGTAATATATGAAAGTGTTGTAAGCCTCTTGTTTGATATTCTCTTCTCCAGGCGTAATGAATTACTTTTCCTAAAGGTGCGTCTTCGGATGTTATAAAATCCATCATAGCTTTAAACTCATTATCTACAATGCGCGAAATTGACACAGGATCTAAAGAAATGAGAGCAGATGTAGATTTTCCATTTTCTATATTACTATTAACTTCTCTCAAATAGTGATTAAGTCTTTGCCAATTATATTCACCGGGACTCAGAGGCGGCTTGGACGTAATTACAAGAAGTGCACTGCACTCCCAAAAATATGGGGTGGGTGTATTTTTGTCCACTTTTGTAAAACTGTATTAATATGATTGCTACTAATAGAATGCTTTAGTAGTATAGTGCATTTCAGCATTTGTATCGTTATTCTTTTACTGGTTATATTACTATTACAGATGATTTATTAAAGCACTAACGTACAACTGTAACGTTATATAAACGGATATATAACATTATACTACGTACACATAATTTATTATTTAGTATTTACTAATAGTTGAATTGTAAAATTGTAAACTAGACTAAGTAAAATACGTTAAAGTATAGATATTGGGATTTGGGATTATTGTTGTGTTGTTGTGTTGTAAATTATTTTTAATTATTGAAGATCAATTTTTGCTGTAATTATTGTTTTTAATTCTTATTTTATTAATTATTATATAATTATTATTAATTACTCATTACCTACTGAAGATGATAAATATTATATACTCAATATGCGGATTGGAAATTGTATATATTTTACTGGGTAGGGTATATTTTAGGATAATATATTAAACAGTATATTTCGGGGTAAAAACTAAAAATCAATTACAATTTACAATATTATGTAAATAATTGTGGCTACTCGCTAACAACTATTTCCATTATTTGTATACTATATATTTTAATTTATGAATATTGATAAAACATTGTAATAAAAATAAATAGAATAAACCTTTTATTTTTATGTTAAATATATTATATATATCCCGTGATATATTCGATATCAAACCAATATAAGTATTATTTTACTTTTTCTTATAAACAATTTATATTATTGATACATATTATTTTATACCACCTACATATGACCCGTTTAATTCTAATTTCTAAACAAGTAATAATGAAATAAATAATATGCCAGCATAGCATGCCTTTAATAATATAAATTATATAATATACAATATACATTGGTATACACAATACACATGCGAGTATGCGACATGCAAGACGGTAATTCCCTTTTATAAATAATATTATGTTGTTAATATTAATAACATCCTTCTATTAGCTGCCATCGGTGATAAGATACAGACATAAGTGGGAAAATTATTATAAATAGCTTCAAAATTATATTATCCTAGTAACCGTATGCATTCGGCATTTATTTCAGCCAATTGAACATTAATGGTGGTCTAGAATCTAAATAAGCTTTGTTTCATATTAAATTTGTCTATGTTAACTGTTCGTTTGAAGTCTTTAAAATTTTAATTGTATATTGATCGTAAATAGTGATTATTTAAAATAAACCATTATTTACAAATTTACAATGACAAAACCTCAAATATGTTCTTGTGGAAAAAATAAAAATGATATGAACCTCACTAATTGGATTCGACATACATCTTCGTGTAAAATCAGAAAATCTAGAGATCAATCTAAGTCAATTGAATTTTTTTTCAATAATCCTAAAAAGCTTAAGCTGGAATTAGGTGATTCTATTTCTTTTGGTAAGTTTACTACTTTTCTTTATTATTAAATTATAAATATAGTGAATATAAAAAAAAAAAAATATGAATTAATTTGGTATATATATAATGTCTTTATTGCCTAATAATTCATTGATCTACATTATATAATATCTAATGCAGTAAAATTATTCAAATAATTTATAAACTAAAATAACAACTTTTATATACATTTATATTTTATAGAAATTATTAATAATTAAATTTTTATTGTAATTTTTTTTTGATTACCTATTTAAAATTTGTTATTTTAGAACAAAGTAGTAAAAATTATAGTTTTACTACTATCAGTAAGAATGAACCAAAATTAAATAATAATCCAGGTAATATATATTTATATTAAATTTATAATTATTTATACAAATTGAAAATAATGTTTTTTAATGTTTACAGAAGAAAAACTATACAGTACTATTACTAGTGAGGCTGCTTTTTCTTCCTCTACTGGCTCTACTGACAATGTTATTAAAGTGATTAATACTAATAATTATTCAGGTATTTTATTTTTTTAATTATTACCTATGTATTATATTTTTATAAGAGACTGAAAGTATAAATAAGTATTTTCTATGTTTTAAGAATTACCATATGCATTATGTTTGTTCTAGATTCAACTGAGAATATGATCAATGATGGAAATAAAGTTGATTCTATAATTTTGGAATCAACTAACATTTATAAATCTGATCAATCTACTAACAAGTTCCCTAATGATCCTGCATTATATTTAAACAAGACTATATCACATTGTTTGAAAAACACTCTACTTGAAATGGGTCCTTGCCAACCTACTGCATCAGAATTGTCAAACGCTGTTTTTCCAAAAGACACCTCAAGTCCTTCACGGTCATTTTCTTCAGCATATTATTTTAAATTAGTAAATGGTAAAACTGTACAACGTAATTGGTTAGCATATTCTCCTTCAACTGACAGAATTTACTGTTGGACATGTAGGCTTTTTGGAACACCTGGGGCACAAAAAAATGGGTTAGTCAGTTCGGGATGTAATGCTTGGGGCCATCTTAGTGGTGTATATGGACGACTACATAAGCACGAGTCATGTAAAGACCACTTAGAATCAGAACTCAATCGTGCCATGTATATGAGAAATAATCGAATAGATATTCTTACAGTAAAATCATCAAATTCTCGTGTAGCTATAAATAGAGAAGTAGTTAAAATACTAATGGATATAGTTTTATGTTTGGCAAAGCATAATGATGCATACAGGGGCCATCTAGAAACAAATAAAGATCTTATTCAAGGCAAATATCGTGATTGGGTTACAGTATTTGCTAAATACCATCCAATATTGTCATCACATTTAGATCGTATTAATTCTAATTCTAAACGGACATCACTTACATTTTTATCAAAGACTTCACAAAATGCTATGATTGAAAGTGTTGCAGAAACTATTAGAGATAAAATTTTAAACGAAATTAAAACAGCTGGTATGTATTCATTAATTTTGGATTCGACCACCGATGTAGCAAAGCTTGATCAATTTGCATTTGTATTCAGATATTGTTCAATTGATGGAACTGTTCATGAACGATTTTTGTGTACAGATGAAACTGCAGATTCAACAGGTAATGGAATGTTTGCTTTATTTTGTAAAATTTGTGATCATTATTCATTGAACTGGAAAAAACAACTTATTGGTCAAGCATTTGATGGTGCATCGAATATGCAAGGTGCTATTAAAGGATTGCGCAGTATTATCCAAAAAGACAACCCAAATGCTTTACATGTTTGGTGTTTTGCACATTGCCTCAGTCTTGTTGTCTGTGATTCATGCCAGGCTAATACTCAAGTACGAGATTTTTTCAGTATAATAGGTAGTTTAGTTACTTTTATTGGAGCTAGAAAAAGAACTGCTACTTACGTTGAATTACAAAAAACATATTATCCAAAGGAACGTTCACGCCGTTTAAAACATTTTTCAAATACTCGATGGACTTATCATGATCAGTCCATAGATGTCATTTTAAAGACTTACAAAGCTGTTATTGAAACATTGAAAAATATTATAACTGATGAAATTGACAAGAAAACGAGTGATACAGCTAAAAGTTTTTTAAAAAATTTAAACAAGTTCAATTTTGTTCTTACAATGCACTTAATGAAGAAATTATTTTCTATAACAACACCACTTTCTAAGTATTTGCAAGCTCCAGACATGGACTTCATCCAAGCTATGAAACTTGTTATGAACACAAAACAACAATTGCAAGATATGCGTATTGACAAAACCTATGGAAATATATTCAATAGCTCAAAAATATTTTCTACAGAACATGATTTATATGAAAAAGACATACAGGAAAAACCTGTTTCATTAAAAAAAAAAATGCCTGGCGAAAACCAAAACGACAAAAGACTTTCTTCTGCAAAAGAGCGTTACATTAGTGAAGTATATAATGTCACACTAGATATTGCTATAAATAAAATTGAAGACAGATATAGTAATTCAGAAAATATATTTAATGATATATTTTTTTTTTCTCCCGAACATTTGCAAAATCAAACCACAGCTATACCTAATTCATTTGAATACATTTGTAATTGGTTATCAGCATTTAAAATTGACAAAGAAAATTTATCTACAGAATACCATTTGTTTGCATCAAATTTTAACAACTTAATGAAAGATGGCCCTGAAAATATCAGTGAAAAATTTCCTAAAATTTTTGATGAAGATAGTGACAATGATTCAATTTTGGAAGATGACAATTTTAGAGATTTACTGCAAGTATCGAATATATTACAAAAATTATGTAAAATGGGCATGGCATCAGCATTTCCTAATTTAAGTTTGGCTTACAAAGCAATTTGTACCTTGCCTCCAACATCTGCTAGTGCTGAACGTTGCTTTTCTAAATTAAAATTAATAAAAACTAACTTACGTTCAACTATGAGTGAATCGAGACTAGATCATCTCATGGTAATATCGTGTAACCCAGACATTGATATAAATATGGACGATGCAATTGATAAGTTTGGATCAAGGTCTAATCTACTTAGGTCAAATCTATTGTATAAATAATGATTCTTAATAATTTTATACACAACATACAGACTTATTTTACTAAAATTAAGTAATTTAAAGTTCTTAATAGTTCAAAGATATTATTAATAAAGGAATATTTATATAAATTGTTTTATTTGAAAAATAATATATAAATTTATTTGCCTTAATACAATGTTATTTTGTTTCATTTTCATTTGTCCCATCAATTTAGTGGTGTACCTATTGAATTATTTATGATAGTCCCAATCTTAATCTATATTATGGGGCAAATTTAAAACGCATTTAATAGCAATTTAAAAATATAATTAATATTTACTAATTAATTGTTTACTTCTTCCCTCCAGATTATTTTCTACTATAGTGAAATTAACAAGTATATCCTTTTCCATATATCCTAAAATTTTTAATTTTACAAATTATGGGACAAATTTTAAATTGTGAGCTGTTTTATATTAAATATTACCTCAAAATATGGTTATTTATATGTTATATATTATATATATATATAAATTTAGTATCTCATTGGTTATTATTTTGTATTAAAAAAGTTGTTAACGGTGGTAGTGCATAGGCAGACATTTGGTTAAATTTATAAGGGAGCTATTATAATTCAATGTAAGGTGACCCGCAAATAATAGTAATAATACAATTTTTAATAAAGTTTGATTTTTTTGGGGGCTACCCCCTACCCCCCACCCGTTGACGCCTTTATGGTAGTGTTAAAGATGTAGGTGGGTGGTCTGAATTAGTACGTGTACTCCTAATATCAATTGTCTCAATCCGCCACTGCGGCGGGACTTAATGTGAGAAAAAATGTAACCGGCCCATACTATATTATTATTGTTTCTATGTCAGACCTAGGATTCAGCCAATATTGACTTGTATTCCTTAACTTAGCGAAAATAGTTGTGAGATTTCCTTCTAATTCATTGTTATGAAGTAATTCCAAGCATTTAGAAGCAGTAAATTTAGTATTCATGTTAATGGTATTTAATTTATGGTAAACACTAGCCTTTAATGCTCGTAAATTCGATTCATGTAATAAAAAAAATAAATACTGAGGATCTTTGCGAAATAACGAATTCATAAACATTAATTGAGCTTTTACAAATTCTGAAGATATTATTTTAATTGATCTTTCGCTGTACTGGCCATTTTTAGCGTATGGGAAAAGATGAGGAAAACATTTTAAATCCAACTGTAAGTCTTCAAAATTATTAATCGGATTATTTTCAATTCGCAACATTTCATACAATTCTGTATCTTTGGCATTTTTTCTTGGCTCATTTAAGCAGTGAATTGTGAACTGTTGATAATATTGATCTTCTGGAGACCTCTGTGAAAACATAGCTTTATTGTACTCTGGTCTAAGTATTTTTTCAACAGTATCATCATTAGTTTCTTCAACATCGTCTCTTTCTTCAATGACAACACCTTCATTCATCATGTTAGTAACCAAATTTTGAAGACCATTGTAATCGGTTAAATTTATATTTTTGTATAGCCAATTATTTGATTTTAACCACTTTAAAGCATCATACATATTTTTAACATTTACCAGGGGCGTAGCGTACATGTAAGCACTGTAAGCACTGCTTACACTTGAAAAAAAGAAAAAAAGTTTTTAAATAAAATCAAGTCAAATAATTTTATAATTAATTTAATAAAAGTTATCAGTTATTTTTACGATGTGCGTAACATGTTTGATGGTTGCTTACACAAGTAGTGGTACGGGCCACTGCACCACCACTCCCACCGTCGTAAACATTATCGATGTCCATAATAATTATTAGCGATTTATTTTCGTATTACTTTATTTATAGTTTATACTCCATACCGTCGCCGTGTAATGCGGATTGAAACTGCTTACGCGAGCCTACCAAAGAGACATAGACAAAGTGTCATTGGAGGGGGCACGTATTATAACATAGTTCGTAAGCACTTTTCATAATGCATACGCTACCGTGTGACGCGACACTGTTTATTGTTTATTCGTTATACTGCTATAAACCATCGAATACGACGTGTATCTGTATTGAACTACGTTTTATGGAAAAATGGAATCTTCAGGTAATAACGAATGTAATTGTATTATTGAAAAATTACTATTAAAATCGTTTGGATCAAATACTTTTATTGAAAAGCAAAATATTATAAATAACGGGAGACCTACACCAACACTTCAGGATTTAAAATCAAAATGTAAAAACAATTTTCGTTACTTTAATCCTTCTTATTATAATACTAACAAATGGTTGTCTGGTTGTCAAAAAACGCAAAAATTATATTGCTGGCCGTGTATTTTATTTTCGCATGAATCAAATACTTGGTATAAGTATGGTTGCAGTGATTTAAACAACTATCATAATTTAAAACATCGTCACGAAATAAATCGTTCTCATATTGAATCATTAATTTCTTTAAAGAAATTTGGTAATATTAGAATAGAAACATGTCTTAGTGATGCATATAAACAAAGTATCGAAAAACATAATGAGTCTGTTAAAAATAATAGGTACGTCTTAAGTCGATTAATTGATGCAACATGTTTTTTGGCAAAACAAGAGCTCTCATTTCGCGGACATGACGAACAAGTTATATCTATCAACAGGGGAAATTATGTCGAGTTAATACACTTAATGGGTACACTCGATCCAAAATTAAGTGGACATCTATCGACATCTACGGTTTTTTCTGGGCTCTCTGGGGACATACAAAATGATCTCATTCAATCGATTTCTAATGTTTTATTAAAAACTATAAAAAACGAAATTGAACATACAAATTTTGTTTCTATAATTATGGATGAAACAACAGATATTATGTCCAAATCTCAGTTATCTACAATTTTACGATATGTGACTAATGAAGGGGTAGAAGAAAGATTTTTGGGATTTGTAGATGTCAGTCATAATCGCTCTGCTAAGTGTTTAGCTGAGCATGTTTTTCGTTTATTAAATGAATATAAATGCGTAGATAAATTAGTGGCACAGACTTATGACGGGGCTGCCGTCATGTCAGGACAACATAACGGTTTACAGACATTAGTTCGCTCAAAATG